TCACTACGATGACAATGCTAATTTCCACTCGTGCTCCTATGCTATTTCCAGGCTTATATTAGAGCCAAGCTAACTGTGTTGTACATCCCTTTTCTCCACGCTGAATTTAGGGTTAATCAAAACAGATTCATCTAGAATACGATTTTGATTTGAGTTCTTTCTTCATCATTTTGCTCAGTGGTCTATGCGACAGTACAGTCAAAGATTGTTCTAAGTGACTGTGCAGTAATACAGAATTCAACTGCTGTGAGATGGTCATCGATGTGTGTGTATATCGAGTATTCTGACAACAGGCACAACGTGGCTCAGCCAAACTGATTTTAGCACCAGAACTAGACGCTTTATTAATTTAATTTCAGGCACTACTAAACACATTTTAAATAAATAAATGAAACAACTTCAGTTGACAGAGCATGAAAAGATTTCAGTCTAGTTAACACATCAGCTATCAACCATTTCACACATTGTAACACTGTTTCCAGTGTTTTTTTACAATTACATTTTAAATGCCAAGTGTAATTTTCATGACACACCGTGGTCATGCATTATGGAAAACAAATGTGAACAGCTTGTACAGTGTACAGTGATTAGCCTGAATACAAAAGTAGCTCCACATTTGTTATTACAATTGTGTCAGGTTTTCCTTGGGCGACATTATCACACTGTGTTACATCTTACTATCTTCCTTCCACATTACATAACCATAATAAGTTATTTATCAAGGTTGGAGATAGCCTGGAACTAGACGGCACTGGCGTCTCTGCGGAGATCTGGTGAACTACTGGGAAAGAACTTTCAAAACAATGAGTCATGGAATATCTTCCAGTGGCTCAGCAGTGTTTGACCAGCCCTTTCCTCTGCAGCTGGAGCCAAAGACACACTCTCACTTAAAGGGGAACTCTGCTCTCACACGCCGCACTCTTCTGGTATTGGTGACAAGAATGACCAAACTGTGCTTAGGTCATACAAGCAAACAGAGACACACTGAAAGTCAATTACTCACTCTTTCACACACAAACAATGGCACGCTACACTCACCAACCCTGACACACTCCCCCTTTCCTTCACTCTTCTCCGCACTCTTCCCTTCTCTGAGAGTCTCCCACTGGGAGTACAGTGTCTCTCACACAATACAGCCACTATCAGAGGTGCATTTCGTGACTGGCTAAACTTAGGGGTGAGAAGTGGTGGTCTAATAGCTGAACCTCTTTAGACTGGCCATTAAGGGACCATGAAAATTGTGCCCTTTTAACTCCAAAGACTGGATAAGCCTTACTGTCTCAGAGTCAGTATTACACTGAGATAAGCTCTGAGATTCTCAAGAATCCTATCAAGGACTACAGCAGCTCATTAACAACAATGCTTAAACTGGGGTTCTGTGATCCAGGGCAAGGCTAATTTTTTGAAATGCAATATGTTAATTAATATTATAATAAATAAATTGAAGCTTGTGTCACTGTATAATACAACGCTTGTGAATCCTACACTGTAAGTTCATACATCTGTACACACCTTCTTATTCAGCATTTCTTGAAAAATCAAGGGTATTAAAGGGATTTCTATTGTTTTTTTGAGATGTATGCATAATTACATCATTAAGATGTAAACAGTCATTCAGAGTGGTTTGGTGTGAATATGGTTTTTGTCTAAAACATTTTTTTAAAAGCCATTCATGGTGTAGAGGTACATGCAGAGCACTGTATGACACAATAGTACCCAAAGAAAATGTATTTTTCAAATTTAACACTTTTTGACCATAAACAACTTATGAAATAAATCCATAAATACAAACAAAAACACAGAAGACAGGTTTAGGTTAATTGGTCAATTTGCGTATAAATAAAATAGCTAGATTTGCATTGCAGATGTCATTAACCTCTGGTTTCTACCACCAACAGTGTGAAGAAATCCAAGTTTCTCTACAATAAACCAAGTCAAATCAAACCAGGCTGATTTTGTTTACATCACAACAAGTTTTTTTAAAACTATGAGGAATTCCTGGGATTAAGAGCGAGTTTGACAGACCACTTTGCTGCAGGAACTGTCTTCACTCTTCTGGGAGAGTCTTCAAGCCTTACACTAGATGTTCAACTTCAAGGGCATTAGTGAGGTCAGGTACTGATGCTGGATGATTAGTTCTGGATCACAAACGGCCCTCCAACTCATCCCAAAGTTACTGGATGGAGCTCCATCACTCCACAGTTCCACTGCAGCCCAATGCTGGGGAGATTTATAACCCTCTGGCTGATGCCTGTCATTAGACATTGTGACATTAGGCTCAAGTGCAGCTGCTCTAAAGCGTCCTATTCTATTGGCAGTGCTTTTCTATGCGCTGTGTGTGCACAAGTGAACACCTGGGTCAGCAATGGGTCCACCTTAAAGTAGCTGAATTCACAAATTAGAAAGGTTTCTGGATACTTTTGAACACAGTGTTGGCTTATTATTAATTTTCAGCCTACTTATTTGGTAACTATGAATTATTCAGTAACTGCAATAAAACTATTAAATAGGTTATCTAGTTATGAGAATGAGGAGCTGAAGTGTAGACCCACAAATGAGCTCTGTGCATTTAGGTGTTTACAGTTTATATTTACAATTGAACAACCAAATTATTTTATTTATTTCTCTAAACTCACCCCCAGCCCGAAAAAATAAAAACAAATTTGGTTCACCCAAATAATGTCAACTGTAAGGCTGTGGCCTTATGTTTTGCAGTAAAGTAAGATCACACATCTGCTGCAGATTAGCCAGTTTAGCAAGATTAGCAAGTAAATATTGTGGGATTTTTTTGGTTTGGAGTTCTCAGCCAAGAACTACTCAAGAAGTCCTGATGTAAACTCAGAAGAGGCTCTGAGACCACCCTCTCTACTAGAGATGCTTAGTGAATAAGGCCCTTGTTGCATTCATACAATGACTCAATTTTAACAGAATGGGATAATGATGCTTAGCAGACATTTGGACACAGAGTACAAACATGATAATCAGTCAGACTGAGGAATGCACGTCTTTCTTCAGCAGCACAGCCAGACACAACTGCTTAATCCATTGATTCTTTACTAAAGAAAGACATTTACTATTGTATGACATTAGATGAAAGGGACACTGATTTTAATGTTATTTGCAGCTGCCATCTTGACACACAGTACATTCGTATAGCAGCAGTCATAGAAAAATCCATACAAAAAGCAAGCAAAACTATAAACAGTTACATTAAATTGACAGCCTCCCTGAAAATCTATAAGAAGCTTTACAACACACAGCGTATCCTTTTCTTTCAGAGGTTTCATAATAAACACTCAGACATACGTACCTTCCAGTATTATTCATAGTGCAGTCAAGTTAGGTGACCAAAAGCAGATGCATGCTCCCACTATCTGTCTATTACCAGGAAACAGACTCTGCTGTACTTGCCACGTAGGCCTAACATCCTATAAGATAAGTGATTTTCTGGCTGTGACTAAAAAACCTTCCTCCTTTTTCCTATGACTCCCACCGAGTCCACTCCGATTTCTAAAGTTAGGCCTACATTGAGGCTCTCCTCACAGCTCACAGATGACAGACTTGTCCTCACTGAGAAGGGAGTATTCAGGAAGTGGACTGTGATTCTAGTTTAAAGAGGGGGGCTGAATACATTATGGTCAACTCCAGCAATGTTCACATTCAGTGCATCTCAGTTTTTCCATGCTGAAGTAATACTCTTGACCTCAACTTGACATCTGCACGTTTCCTTACTGGCAGACAGTGTATCTTTTGTTTTCCTTCACTTTCTCCTCATCACTCTCTTTCTGTCTGTGGACTTTAGGTCTCGCTGCATGTGAGGAAAAAATAACTCATTAGCAGCTGAGGTTGCAAATTGCTCATAAACTTCCAGCACTATATTCTATGTATGCATTGCAGAGATGTTCCAGCTGTATTATGAAGTTTCAAAGCTGTGGAAATGTGAGAGCGAGTCTCATTAGCTGCTGTGCTCATACACAGACCATTATCAAGATGAAGCTGTGGCTCTTTGGACGAGGGGGAAGTCAGCCTCCTCAACTCAACCTATTCACATCTCAGTAGCACCGTAGTAGAGGAGCCAGGGAGGCTGATCTCACACTTCCCCGCTCAGGATCGACCTGAGGCGGCTGAGCGACTAGCAGCTCCCCGTCAGTTTCACACTGAGGGTACAGTTCGCTCCCCTTACTGTCAAGAGACACGTTTGCCCTTTGAAGTAGTCCGGTTACCAGCTGGTGTGAACACACCACAACCCCAACTGTTATCCGGACAGTTAACCAGCCAAACCTAGACAACAACTGGTGATGTGCGAAGACGGGACACAAACAGTGATCGGCAGATTCGTTCAAAATGTTGACATTTTTTTTTCGCCTAGTTCTTTGCACTTCACTCCCTTTCCAAAGATTGTCTGAGAGAAGTAGACATTTTCAAACAGTATATTTCCATCCATTAGTTTCTTCCCAAACAGCCTATTTCCACCTATTAGCTTGTTTTCAAACTGCCTATTTTCAGTCAGCTTGGCGTCACCGCGGGTAATTTGCTGATTAGTAAACTAGCAGTGAGGACCGTTAGAGCCCGTCCTAACTCAGACAGCCACGCAGCTAACCTCACCAGCTAGCTCCCGCCTGTCTGACCAAACTGCCTCTCCTCACTGAAAAAGCCCAGCGAATCACACCAGAGCTGCTTCTTCTCAGAGAAAAGTTGTGCCGTACAGCGCAGCTCCGGTTCATATATCAGCCCGATGATTCGTCCTTGTGTAATCCGTTTGCTAGCTATCTTAGGCTAAGCCTGGCTGTCCGGCAGCGCGGTCTGCGGTGAGGTTTCACCCTCAGCTCCGTTACTCAGCGAGTTCAAGCATGCGGGACACAGCGCAGTCCAGCCCTCACCAAAGCCCACCATCACACTCTCAACAGAGGCGACAGACCCGCTAAACAAGCCCGTGTGCTCAAATTTAACGTGCAACCCGGTCAGTCTGTTAGATCAGGGTGACGCGTGTGCCCACCTACCTGAGCTGTGCTGTGGGCTGAAGTGCTGCAGTTCAACACTGAGAGCTGCTCTGTAGTCCTGAGGCTGTCTGGAGGAGACGGAGGGGAATGAGCTGCTTCCTCCAGACTCCAAATGTGCTCCCTCTCCCTCTCTCTCTTGCTCTCTCTCTCTCTCTCTCTGTGTGTGTGTGTGTGTGTGGGGCAGGACAGGAATGGTTCCTCCCAAAGAGAGGATAAACTTCACCCTACACGCGCGCGCACACACACACACACACACACACACGCACACAGCCAAGACATGAAACCTTATCCCTAAACATTTATTAATCAAGCAATATTTTGCTATTTCTAGTGTAATACTACTGTAATAATGTGTGACAATAACTCGTTAATTAACTGATGATTAACACAGAATTTACACAATCATTTGATAAAAGCAATTCAGAAAAACAAAAAGACAACAATAATGTACACAATAACAACAGGAATATATAGGAATGCTATTCCTAGTGCAATACTAATATAACAACATAGGACAACAAACAATTCATTGATTAACATCTTTTTTTACACATTCTGTTGATAAAAGTAATTTAGCAAAACAACAAAATGAGAGCAAAAATGTAATAATAAATATAAGAAGGCGACAAAGAGAAAAATTCCAACGGTATTGTAAAAATAATAATAATAATAATAATAATAATCTAGTGTAATTTAGTACTGTAATACTGTAGGACAACGAATGGGTAATTAATCGATTAACATTGTACTTAATTAACCATTTGATAAAAGTAAGTCAAGTACAAATAACTGAACTATCTGATAAGTCTCTGCCTTTTTTTTTTTTTGGATAAATAATTTTAAAATGAGTTTGACAGTAAACACTCCGATCGCTGGCAGTTGCTAAAATGTCCCGTCCATGTAAGGTGCACAGACACACACAAACTCCACATACCTGGGTGTTTTCATGGCTGACTGTTCTCAGATGGAGCAGAGCTTGAGCAATTCAGAAGAACAAAGGCAGACAGACTTCATAATATTGACACAGATGTTGCATATAACTGAATCTGCCCAAGATTTTCGTGGAAAGTTGGGCTGTTTGTATGTGGTAGGCCAACCTCAATACACAACCCACCTTAATATTTGAAGAGGGAGCAGAAGGGCTAATGCTGCAAGTGCTATGATTAACTTGTTTTGGTGTTCACTAGATCTGTTTTCAGAGGCTCCTCAGAGTTTGCACATCTGTCAAGGGCACCTTTGGGGCCACAGAACCCTGACCACTTTAATGTTCATGATAGATCCGGTCCACTTCACATGACCTATTTGATGCTTATCTGACTCCTGCAAATCTGTCCATTGTTTAGGTCTGGCTCCACACCCCCCCAATCTCCTGTGGTTACTTAAGCTTAGATAAACAAACTTAAGGAAAATCATAGCTTGTATAACATGACGTAGCTTCCGTTCTCTCTGCATCTATTATGTATATGTGTATTTTGGAGTGCATGAGTGTGCAACAGACAATGCTATAATGTAAAATACAGCGCCTGTGTGACGGACTGTATGAAGGCCAGTAAGAAAGTAACCCCTGGCTGATCTGTATGAAGAGAGATTGAGACCATTCCCATTAAAACCTAATAATATAGCAAAAATATTTTCATATGATTACAGTATTGGTAGATAGTGTAAAACCTCCCACATGTTAGTCATAGATATAGCACCATTAACATTCCACTTCTGATAGCTAGCAGATATCATTGCAGAATAATTACTGAGACACCAATCAGCCAATTACAACTATCTCTAACTACTATATAATCCCTCAAGTGAAAGAAAAGCTCCTCACAATAATCTTGCAGTGAGAACAGCAATGGCAGTAAATGAGTCAGAATTATTAGGCTAAAAGATGAAGAAAAAGGTGTTGCTGAGCTATCCTGATTACAGAGAGGATGAAGTTGTTTTTATTTTGCGCCTAAAGTTGGAAAAAAAATTGAATTAACCTCTTAAATGTCCCACAAGCAGGCCCTAAGTTTTATTACACACTTCTATAACCTAAGAATAGCTCAGCCAGTTTGCATTTGCAAGTCCCTTTAGTTACTGAATAACAAGGCTGGGATTTTAAGGGGTTAAACTAGATGGACGAACAGTCATAGCTCAAATCCAAAACTACTAAAAGCTCTTAGAAAAGCTAAACTTTATTTACACTGCACATTTTAATATGATGACTAATGATAAAAAAATGCCACAGAACAATGTTAAGATCAGTTACAGTTAGCTTTTCTTAACAGTTAACAGTTAGCTTAATAAACTGTACAATGCTCGTATTCTGTGCAAAGAAAAATACTAATGCACTCGTACACGTGCCATCATCTGTACTGCATCATTAAAGATTGGTAAAAGACCTTGTATACAAGATAACGAGGGTCTTCTCAGCATTTAAAGTTCACTAACGCTAGCTCCAGTTTTAGCCTTAGCATTAGCTCATCTGAAGTTTATGTCGCTCAGACCTCATCATCTATATGTCCCATCCTGTACTTTGAGATCACAAAATGTAGGCCTTCTTCATGTTCCAGAGTTTAAATTGACTTCTATGGGTGGTCGATCATTTAATGTAGTAGCTTCCAAATTATGGAATACCCTCCCCCAGTCTATTCGGGATGCAACCTATCTACCTTCATTTAAATCTCTGTTAAAGACTTACTTGTTTTCACTGTGTTATCGTTGTTCTGTTTATACTTGAACGTTTACCTGTATTGTCCTCTTGTTTAATATGTTGATGTTTAATTGTTGATGTTCTTTTCTCAAGCGTCCTTGAGCATGGAAAAGGTGCTATATAAATAAAAGTGATGATGATGATGATGATAAAACCTCATCTTTACAAGAAAATCTGACTGCTTTAATGTCCAGAGATTGATATGTGTTCCCCTCGTTTGAGTTATGTAAACATGGTGTCCGCGGTGTTTTTTTGGCCTTAACTTGACCTACATTTACATTTAGTCAATTCTCAAACATGTATGTTTGCCCTGAACATCTTGTAAAGCCATTTTTTTAATAATAAAATGTTTTCAGAGGTACCACTGTCTGTACTTTTCGTGGGAGAGGTAACCCCAGCCCAGGCTTCACCCTGATGATAGACCAACCCCCAACACAACATACACTAACTAAACCTGCACCCCAACACAAAATAACCCAAATAATGCATTACATATTTACACTAACAAACAACAACATTTAAACACATTAAAGTCCCTTTTTTAGAAGGGCACACACCTACAACGAGTCTCCACAGTGTCCACTCACATGGCCACACCTCCCAAGCCTCTCGGATCTAGTACCAGTCAGTAGCAGGTCATTACAATATATATCAAATTATTTCTTAAATTAAGGTTTTATGGTCTTAAAATAAGATTCCTATATGTATTTATATGAGACAGGTCATTGTAAGACAGACAGTTTCATTTGTTGGCTAGAGGTATGATGAATTGTCAAGGAGCTTGACAAACTATTTCAAATCAAAGCCACTTCAAGGTACTATCTCAGTCTGGCATGTCAAGGACGTGACACCTCTAAACCAGTAGGTAGCTGAATTCATGCAGGTTATTGAGTTTACGAACTAGGCCTGTATAAATATACCACACTGTGGAATTGGGGGTTGGTAAGCGGTATGACAGGGTGTGCTGCACTATGGCCAAGATTTAGGTCTGTTTCTAATGTCTTGTGGGTGGAATTCTGGTAGGTGGATCTGATCTTCAGGTTTCACTTACAGGTGGGAGTCTGATTATTTAACATTCTGCTGTCATTACAAAGTCCAAGCAACTTGTATGATGCAATCTAGAATACTGTGACCCAATGGTATATTCTTGCTTCCGTCTGCAAAAGCTGCGATAGCTCAACAATTGGCCAATTATTTCTGTGAAAGTACAAGGTCATAAATACATAAGAATAAGAGAGAACTGCTTTTCGTTTGTGTGCTAGGTAGCAGATATGTACATAGGGTCTAACTGTGTTTTTGTATGGCAGTTATAGGGTTTGCTGGCCTGAAATAGAAGTCAAGGTAATGGGCTTTGGAAAGCCAATCAGTCAGTGGTGATAGCTAGCGTGATGGCTAACCTCTCTCACTCACAGGGAGATTAGCATGAGGGAGACATAGAGATTATCCACCAGTCAAGGTTTCAGCCCCTCCTGATCTACGCACTTCACCTTGAACTCCCTGTGTAATGTGATTAACTGAGTCAATATAATATTTCTGAGCACTCCAATACACATTATTCAGTTTCCATTCAGTAAAATTTAAGACTTCAAAATGCTTGGAGGGATGTCATAACATAATTAATGTCACCAATTAGAGCTTTAATAAATGCTTAACATAATACAAAGCTAATAAACAGATTAAAACAACTGTATACACAAGTGTTCTTTAAGTCTATTGTACACTATTTGCCCAAAGGTGTTAAGATGCTCCTTCTAATTAGTAAATTCAGCAACTTTAAGGCATCCTTTGCTGACACAGGCGTTTTCAATTGCACAGTTTGTGTCTTCTCCATGAAAGAGCACTGCCCATAGAAGGGGCTGCTCTGAAGCAGTTGCACATATGCAAGCCTATGGTGACCATGCCCAGTGCATTGGCTGGAGGTTCCCAAAACAGGAGCTGTGTGCTGTCTGGATTGATGGAACACCATCCAATAGCTTTTGAATGAGTCAGCGTAGCATTTGTGACCCAGAACTAGCCATCCTAAATCAGTAACTGAGCTCTTGAGGCTGAATTAAATAAAATCCTCATGTTCAAAATTTGTATAAGAGACAAATCAGACAAATCAGAATATATAAAACTCAAGTTGTGCATATGATCTCAACAACACCATACTTAAAGTGAAGTACAGATGTGAGGGCGTCATAATATGGGGCTGCTTCTCTGCAAGTGCTACTGCGCATCAAAGGAAACATGATTTTAATCTCATTGGCTGAGAAACTGAATCTGAGAGAAGATGGAGGACTTTGGAAAGGATTTTGGAGGATTTCACTGTAGATGTCTTGAAGCTGTAGTTACAAAAAACTGCACTGCAACAAAGTACTAATATATATATATCTCAACCAAGCAGATGTAGAGCTGAAAAGAAAGCATATATATAAATATGAA